ATATATTTTTCATATATTCATATATATAATATATATAAATATATGAAATATATTAAAAATTGATGTGGGTACTCAAATGAAAAGTCTCAATGAGTGTAACATCAAGATGAGCTTATAACTTTAAAAATCTCAATTGTTGACAAAATAGCAATGTCAGTTCTTAATTATTAACATTTTTAAAGAGATAAGCTCATTCTGATGTTACACACATCAAGACCTTTCATTTGAGTACCCACATGCATTTTTGATATATTTTTCATATATACATATATATGATATATATATAAATATATCATATATATGAAAAATTGATGTGGGTACTCAAATGAAAGGTCTCGATTAATGTAACATCGGGATGAGCTTATATCTTTAAAAATGTCAATAGTTTAGAAGATACAAGGTCATTTCTTAATTATGTATCTAAAGTTCATTTTTTAAGAAGCTCTTTGAATTAATTTTTGTTTCGATTATTCTTTAATTTCAATGTAATTAATTTTTTTTCAAGACAAAAATATTTTTTTAATTTACAAAATTAACTTATACCTTATTTATCTTGTAAATAAAAATATAAATAAAAAAAAAGTCTTTAATTAAGTAAAATAATAAAAAAAATGATTTCTTTAAAAAATAAAAAATTAATAGCAAATAAAATAAACTTACATATATTAGTTCCCTGCTGTACAAAAGTTTTCTGCTGATTAAGTGTTTCAGCAAGAAGAAAAGCGTTTTCCTCCAGCCCAATAAGCAGGGAGGTTGCGACTCTCATCTGCTCTTGATGGCTCAAGTCCTTCCAGGAGGCCATTTGAGCGGTATCGAGCAAGTTACTTCCAGTTCTAACGACACTTTGGAGCAACTCGGTAACGCTAACTTCTCTCTGCCGGGGGTCCTGATAGTTTCTGATGTTCTGGGACATTTTCTCGGCCATGTTGCGGATTATTTTGGTGGTGGTCATCATATCCCCGCCGTAGAGGATGCGGGTGTTGTCGGTGACGACGGCGAGCTCGGGGGCGATCGACAGGATGGTGTCGCCCTCGGAGACGCGGTTGTCCAGGGTAGTAAGCCAGAGGGTCCGGCACTCGCTGAGGTCCGGGGAGTCGCGGAACCACACCGCCGAGTCCTCCGTGGCGACACATTTCCACTTGGCCAGACCGTTAGCTCCGCCGGGACAACTTTGGAGCGCGATTTCTCCGGCTCGCGTCGCATTCCAGATGAGCTGCCGGGCTGCCGTTGGCGGACAAACTTGTCGGTTGTACTCGTGCCACTTGCCGTTCGAGTTGTGATCGGTATACGGAATGCTCGTCGACACTGAAATTATTTGCCACAGGTTACTTTTTTTGGTCTTTTATTTTTTGGTTGAAATTAATTATCAGTTTGACCGAGACCCGCTGAGTCACGCTGACAACTGGTAGACACCTTGCGTTTGACTTAAACTTAAACTCTAGATCTTTTAATCTTTTAAGTAAATAGGGGAACCCGGATAAAGTGAGATAACATCTAGGCTTTTCATCGACTTCTGGTTTAAATTAAAATATCATTCAAGTTTTACTTAACAAGTTTATTTTTTTAGACAAAAAATATTTCTTAGTTGTTTTAAATAAAAATTGGAGGCTTTAATTTTTATGCAAAATAAAATGTTGATAGATTTTTATTTATTTTTTATCTCACTTTATCCTAAATTGTATTAATTAAAAATTATAGTCTCTATTTTTTATCTAAATTAAAATTTTAGCAATTTTTATCAATTTAAATTCATTAAAAATTTTTTATATTGATAAAAAATAAATTATAATAATTATTTTACTTATTTTTGACCTCAATTTATTATAAATTGTCTTAATTAAAAATTATAGTCTCTTTTTTATCCAAATTTAAATTTTGGCATTTTTTATCAATTCAAACACTTTAAAAATGTTTTGCATTACTAAAATATAAAAAATAATGATTATTTTAGTTATTTTTTATCTCACTCTATCCTAAATTGTCTTAATTAAAAATTTTAGTCTCTATTTTTTATTCAAATTAAAATTTTGATATTTTTTATCAATCTAAATTCATCAAAAATTTTTTATATTGGTAAAATATAAATTATTTTATTTACTTTTGACCTAATTTTATCCTAAATTGTCTCAAGTAAAAATTACAGTCTCTAATTTTTATCCAAATTAAAATTTTTGCATTTTTTTATTAATTCAAACTCTTAAAAAATGTTTTACATTAATAAAACATAAAAAAAATGATTATTTTATTTATTTTATCAAAAATCATTTTAAATAAAAATTGTAGTCTCTATTTTAGATCCAAATTAAAATTTTGATATTTTTTATCAATCCAAATTCATAAAAAATGTTTGAAATTATTATTTAATTGATTTTTTGTCTCCTTTCATACAAAATTGCCTTTAAAAAAAATTACATCCTTTAATTTGAATAAAAAATTAAACTTTTTTAAAATAACAATAAAAATTTTTACCAATAGGCCGCCGGCTGGTCTTCCATGATACATAACTGTGTTCTGTAGATGACTCAGTGGTTACTGGAACAACGGGCGCGAGCGGACTGACATTGTCCTTGGAAGAGGGCCTCAAATCATCCCTCTCGACGTCTTCAGTCTCATCGACAACAACTGGCCGAGCCGAGCTTGCCGGGCTGTCAATTAATAAAGCATTTAATTTTATTTCACTCTCCGATGACTCGAATTGAATGACGGAGAATAATAGAATATATAATTAAAATACATATATGAGAAAGAATACATATAGAGTGTGGAGTAGGTTAATGTAGGTGTATGAACTGACCTGGACGGGGTTGTTACGGACGGACCGAGGGTGGTTATAGCCGGGAGTTGAGCTGGGAAACTCGTTGTCCTGGATGGCGGTCTCACGCTGGGACTGCCCGTAGTCCATACACTTGGCTGAGTGGTTATCAACCACGGTGGACTTGGTCTTGATGTCGTTGTTGTCGTTGCAGCTGCAAATGTGTTACATTAAATTTTTTTACTTTTCTCCTCTGGCTTAACCCGTTGCGTCATTCTAGATTTTTACGCCCGGGTACTGAGGTCGACGGTCAGGCATGCGAGCTCGCGTCCTAGTGTTCCAACTTATATTATATTACAGAAAATAATAATAAAAGCCCAAGTCGAGGCTTTTTTTTCGGACTTTTATTTCATTTTTTTTTTTTTTTTTATTGTCTTTAAAATTTTATCAAGGGCCATCGCAATAAAGGGTCTGCGTATTTTTTGAATAAACGGTTAATGATCAACTCGATTTTATTTTCCGTATTGTTTGTTTTTATTAAACTCACAAAAATTTTACGCGCTTATTGCTTTATGGTCATCGTCAAAAATATATCTCTTAAAATTTATAGCGTTGTTAAATATTTTCAGTCATAAAAAATTTTATTTTAGTTTTTTTTTTTTTTATTAAAATTTTGCGATTTAAACTTAATTATTATTTAGATAAAAAAATTATGATCCTAAAGTTAGCTGACAGCTGTCAATATTTTAAATTCTTATAACAAATCAATTACAATACTAAAAGTGCTTCTAAAAATTTTTACTGATAATTTTCTTTAATTTTTACACGTGAAATTTTTTTATAACAATTTAATTGTTGTGAAATACTAAAAAAATTTCTAATGTCTGTCAAATTAAGTTTTATAAAAAATTTAATAACTTTTAAATATTTAAAAAATTCCGATGTGTTAATAAAAAATTTTTCTAAGAAATAAAACAAATTTTAAAAATAAAATTTCACAATAATAAAACGTGACTTTAAGTATAAGTATAAAAATATTTACTCGAAAACCATGACTCACTTATTAATAAGAACTTGATAAAACTTATCAGCCATAGCGATTAATATTTACCATTATTGTTTCTTCAGCACTAGATAATTCATTATTTGATAAAAAATACTCACCAGATTGACACTGATAATGCGCTTCGAGGTACTTAAGCGTACTGGGACAAGGGTCTCCAAAATGTACCGGCGAAGCTGTGATACTGCAGTTTTGTTTCAAATTGCACCTGAAGAGGCCGCGAAAAATCCAAAAATGTAATTAGTTACTCATTATTACAAACCAGAGTAACTGTCATGAATTTCACCTATTCAACTTTAAAAAAATAAAAACCCCTCCCGGGAATAGAATCCTATCTTATACACAGTTAAGCCCATAAAATATGAAATAAAATCGAATCTCCGAGTAGATCACAACTTTTACGAGCTATCAAGATCGGTATGCATGTGTACAGATAAATACCCCGGATAATATTTATTTAATGATTATCATGGTAATCATCAGCGAGTACGCTGCTGGTATGATCGCCGGAGCGACATGAGATTAATCTGATTTTAAGAGACGTATAAATAAAGAGTAATAACAGTCGCAGGTATCATTTTTCAGTGGTTTGAGGTCGGAGCTTGCTTGATCTAGCTGGATGCAAGAATTTAGAAGCTAGAAGCTGGAAGCTGAAGGTATAAGCTAGTTTAAAAGGCTCACCACGTATCGACGTTCAGCCTCTCGTAAAACCTCAGGGCATTATCGTAGTTTTCTCGGAAGCTCTGAGGGAAAATGGGAATCGTGGCTTTTATCGTGTCGATTGATTTTTATTTGTCTCTGTATGCCGTAGACTGGCTCTATCTACTCTTTGCTCTTTCCATATACTTTTCGCTACTTTTTCAACGTTGTTTTAGTTTATTTTCATCCCAACTGTACGCTGTTAAAGCTCAACCTGAAAACTATCCTTCTATTCCTTTCCTCGGCTCTACTTTTATTTCTATTCCACGCTGCACCGTATATTTCCTTGAGTTGACAATGAGAGAAAGAGCATCAGAGCCTTATAGTAGAACGGGAGATAAAGAAAAAGTTTATAAAAGTAAGAGGTACTCGATTCGATCCATTAGACCGAGCCGTGGATTTTACGTACTTACGTGCCTACATACACTAAGCTGTAAGCCGCTAGTCAGCTGACTCTCTCATTTACTTTTTTCTCTTTACTTAACTTATACACTCTTTTATTTCACAAGCTTTCTCTTTCTCGCTTTGTTTTTCTTTTTCCTCGTTCCTCGGGTTTTTATTTAATTTCTCTGTTCAGTTGCCCAAGAGCTAACTATTGCCTGACAGGATATATAGTAGGATACCAGCTAAGAGTACTTCTCTTTACTTCATGCCTATTGACCTATCGCACTGCTCGAGTAACCATTCAACTGGCCACGGCTAATGGAACTCCATTTCCCGGATAATAATAACGCTTTATGTTTATATTTATTTACAAGGAAAAAATTATTTTGTAATTTTTTCGAGGATTAAAATAATTTTTTTCGGTGCTTTAATTTTTAGTTTAATTAAACGAGCTCGCTATTTTAGTTAGGGGTGAAAAATTTTTTTTTTTTGTAAGAAATTACTCAACAAACCTATACAGTGATATTGGGCTTCTATGTACTTTCCGGTCCCGGGGCATGGGTCCTCTTGAAAATATGTACTGCTTACTTCCACTGTGCACGATCGTTGCCCGTTACACCTATGATTTTCGGTAATTTTTAATTTTTAACGTCCTAATTTTTATTCTTTTGAATATTTAACGGTAGATTTTCCTTTCCTGGTTCTCGGTTTTAAAGTTGAAATTTTTTTAGTGGAAATTTACATGCGTGTTAGTACAAAAAAAAATTATTTTGAGTAAAAATGTTTTTATAAAAATTGTTTTGTAAAAATTAAAAAAAAAAAAAAATAAAAGATAAAACAATAATAAATTTGATAAATTAAAATTACACTTCTAGAGTACTGAGTCAATATAAAAAAAAAAAAAAAAAAAAAAAAAAAAAAAAAAAAAAAAAATGTCTTAAAAATAAATAAATGTAAAATTTTAAAAATTAATTAAAAAAGCCTGAATTAAAGTTTTACCAAATTACCAGGTTAAAACACAGACATAGTTAGTTAACGGTTTAATAAAAAAAATGAAGAGAACAAATATAAGATGTATTATATGAGAAGGTTAAATATGTGAGTATAGGAAGCTGGAAGCGTTTGATTACTAAACTTCCATATAACATTATGATATATCTGTTAATATAAATGAAATGGAGTAAATAATATCTGTTGAAATAGGATAATGTTGATTTAAACTAACGAGTGTATAGCAGCGTGTGGATAGTTTAGTTAGCAACTGGTTTTATCATATTTGGCGGTGCGAATCTCTCCAGTTGAGAATCCATCAGAGAGTTGAGTTATACGTTTAGTTATTATATATATATATATATATTATACGAGAGTTTGAGCAAGTTGAGTTGAGTTGAGTTGAGTAACTTAACTTCTATTCAGTAGAGAAACAATAATAAAAAAGCGAATAAAAGGTAGCATCAAAGATATGGACTCGAGTTTAGATCTCGAGATCCCAGATCAAAGACAGAGCCAGAGATGCTCCAGGAGTAGTGATAGTAGTTAAATGGTACAAAGCCCGACCAGCAGAGCCAGAGAAGAGAGAGCCCACATATTGTATATTATATATTGTATTTTATAAAACAGAAGAGGAAGACTGAAGACTGGAGACTGAAGACTAAAGAGCGAGAACCAAGAGCAAGACACTCGAGAGATAATCCCGGAGAAATAGTTGGTGCGTTTTAAACGAGAGTACTGTTGTTTTCATGGAAACCGATAAACATCCGGTGCATAGTGGTAACCCGAGTAGAGATCACCAGACTCTCTTTAAAATGACCATTTTGCCTGGAGGATATTCTCCTCATGCATCGCCCTTTTTTATCACCATCGCTATCACTCTGCTCTCTATTCTTTTCCTCAGTTTAATATGTAGAGCAAGATCTGAATTATTATTGTACGAAATAAGTTGTACGCGACAGCTCCAACGGTTTAAACTGCGATCAAACACGAGAAACTGTCATTTAGAAATACTCCGGTTTATTGCATTATTAAATTTTATCGTTCGGGTTAGCTGAGAGTTCCAGTATAGTACTTTACTTTTCATATTGTCTTTTTATCCTCTATATCTTGGATAGATAGTATAGAGTATAATACAAAGGCAGATTGAGACCGTGCCCTTTTACACTTAATATTTATGATTTAAATTTTTTACCCCCCGATTTATCGGACCTTCTATGATAATAAGTATCATTGGATTTTTTATTAACCGTAAGCGCGTGATATAATGGACTAGAAGATAAAAGACCAGGGAGGTCTTTATGATAGTATTATATTATTATATTAGACTACGATAGGAAATCTGCCGAATCATCGGGTATTCTTCCTAGTCACCCAATAATTATTTTGTGGTACGATGACCCAGATTTATGAAAGACGGAAAATCGATAGTGTGGATATATCGTAGGTTTTTACCGTTTTTCGGGCCACAGGGCGTGGATTTTTCAATTCATAATTAATATGTAGGATGGAATTTTTTTTTAAATACCTAGTTTAGGCTTTTGTGTGTGGACTGTTAGTTTTACTTGTTTTAAATACACACGAGGTTTTTTTTTTTAAATTACCTGTTGAACTAATGAACTATTATTAATTTTTTTATGTAAAAATTAGTTTGTTTTATTTTATTTTTTTGGTTAATTATAGAAAAATTTTAATTTATTAATTTTTTAACAAAAAAATATAAGTGTGTCTTAATTATAACAGATAAATAAAAAAATAATTATATTTGAACTATTAAAAATTATTTTGGCCAATTTTTTGGATGAGAAAATAAATTTTTAATTATTAAAAAAATTATTTAAGGCACAGCCATGTCAGCGGCGTTTAATGACGTACTGCAATTTTTCAGATAAATTAAACGAAAATTTCTTGGATGTATGATAAAGCATAAAAACCAGATATAATTGGTAGTTGTTTTAGTAAATGAAAACAGTTATTGTACGATTAAAACAACAGTCTAACCGCAAAATCCGTATTACGTTGAATTGTGGGGTTATACGTTTGAGCATATAGACGCTCGCGTAACATTAAAATTAAAATCCAATTTCCGGTCATGTCCGGTTGTCTGCGCATTTGCTGGCTGCCTTTAATCCAATTTCCCCGGGCTAAATCCTGATTATCGCGGTATGCTAATTACAAACGAAATCCGTTAATGAGTCGACTGTTCTAATTAACAATGTCATTATAATACTTGGCTGCGAAGCTCCTACTATTATATGTACTCGTACTAACATAGTAGCTTCATCGCTTCATGCCTCTACTATTATTATGTATAATATACTAACCTTATGCTCTCCTGCGTTACATATTTATTTCTAAATTAATTTTACGATAACGTCCGTCAATAAACTTTTTGCTCCCCGAACTATTATATCCTTCTATTTTTTTCACACCTTCGACGCGAACAATGCGAATAAAAAATTAATCTCTTTATTATTTTTCACCTGCTGGCGTATTATATCATATTTATTACATTAATCTAATATTTCAGTAAATTTCCAATTAAGTTACAAGGGCGTTATATGACCCGGTAGTTATTTTTACAAGAGATTTTAGTATCGGTTAGCAATATTGTCAAATTTGTCCATCAGGCGCCAGTTAATTGACATTTTTTTTGGGTTTACGTCCAAGGAATTTTAATTAATTTTTTTACGGACTAATTTTATGGTAGAGCAAATTAAAATGTTAAATTACTTTGTTTTTATGTACTCTGTGACACAGATTGCCCGTATTAATAATCAAGTGCTTTATTTTCACCTTTATGATGCAAAAAAGGGTCAAATTGGGATTTTTTTTTTTTTAATATTTATTTAGTCAAAAAAAATTTTTTCTCGCTTTTAAAATGAATTTTATTGAGGATTTTTCTTTTTGAAAGGAAAAAATTGACTTTCTGTCAAATTAATTATGAATCTTGAAAGTTAATTCCGAGATTAAGACACAGAGAGAAAAGAATAGTCAAATTGGGATTTTTTAAATATTTATTTAGTCAAAAAAATTTTTTTTTTCGCTCTTAAAATTAATTTTATTGGGGACTTTTATTTTTAAAAAGAAAAAATTGATTTTCTGTCAAATTAATTATGAATCTTGGAAGTTAATTCCGAGATTAAGACACTGAGTAGAAGAGAATAGTAAGTACAGAGTAATGTTGAAGGATTAATCGAGATATTTGGGGAAAACAAGATTATTAACTGACTAATTATTGCCGTGGTATCACATTGCCGACGTGCCTGCGTGAAGCTTGTTCGCATGCAATTAACACCTACCCGTTGGCATATTATTGGAAAAGCACATTCACTGGAATGTCGCGTCTGAGTAACCTATAACCACTAAATGCGCTTCTCGGGCATGTCATGTGTCCCATACCTATATCCGATCTACTCTGTTCGTATATATATAGATACCCATATAATATTATCATTATTATTATTATATTATATGCTCAAGCTCGCATATGGATATTGTCTAAACTATATGCTTGAGTACATAGATATATAATAATATTATTATTATTATTATTATTATTATTATTATTATTATAGTTATTGGATGCCTGGTATGGTGATGCGCGAATAGATGTGTCGACGAAACATAACTCGGATGCACTATCGATTGTTATGTAGTCATCTCTATATTTCGGTCCATTTATATGTATGTTTTTAAAAATATTCAAAACATTTGTAATTGTCATGCGATTGTTATCTCTGCTGCACAATTGAATTTTTTTATGCGATCCAAAGAGAGATTACTCGACAGCATTTTTTATTTTATTCTTTGATGCATTCTGCATATTTTCGTTTCACTATTTTTTAAATGGATTATCCTTCGTTTATTTTGTCCAAGGACAAAAATGCCTCGCTGATAAATAAACAGAAAACTGTTGATTGTTTTTCATAAATAAATTTCTGTTTGTATGAAAAATTATTTTTTAACTAATTTGAGCTTTTGACCCGCTTTTTAAAGTTTTACGTCAGCTAAAATTTTTTTTTGGGTTGAATAAATTATTTTTGATAATATTATCGAAGACGAAATTCATGACAGTAATTACTCTTTAAGTCTTATAATTAATTAAAATCGTACATAATAAAATAATATTAATAACTAATTCGAAAGTTAGCTGACAATTTTTAATTAAAAAAATTTTTATACAAAATTAATTATGAAAAAATATTTTTTTTTTTTTTAATAATAATAATTTAATTGTTTTAAAATTATAAAAAAAATTTTTAATGTCAGTTAACTTGTGTCTTATTCTAATACTAATAATAATAATAGTAATAAATTAATTGACCGTAAAAAAAAAAAAATACCAATATTAAAAGTAAAAATAACAAGAGCAATAAAGTTGGCACGTAATTAACACATGCAAATACTCGTACATGATATTATACAAGTAGTAGTTGGATGGGAATATGGACGGTCGCGGTCATGTTCGTTTGTACATGGATGGGTTAGCGGTTTCCATCTCACGGTCAATTACTTTACATTCACGTTTGTTTGCCCGACATATCGCGACGTATCAGTCGACTGGCCAACCGATGCCGTCTCGATAAATCGAAATTCGTTATTATCTAATTATTATAATTTAAATTTAAATTATTTATCCTGAGACACAATCTACTTTTAACTTAAAACTTTCTTAACTATTAAACCACTATAAATAACAAAATAAATAAATATACTGGTAGAGTTATAAGTCGGTAGTAAATAATTAAATAAATCCAGTTGATAGAGGGAAAAAACAAGATATTAGATAAATATTGAGGAAATGAATCTCGAGTGCAAAGAGAATAGAGATTGTGAAATAAAGAATTGAAAAATAAGCAGTTATAAGTTTATAGTTTACTTGAATTAACCAACAAAACTCTGTTTCAATCTACGGAGCACTAATTGGGTCACTGTTATTTCCTCTAGATTTTTTTTTATTTATTTTTAAATATTTTTTCATATCAAGTTAAGTTTTAATATCAAGTATTACTGTAATTGTTATTTACTCTCGAGGTACAGAATAGTCAGTACAATATATAAGTATAGTACAGTACAGCGCTAGGAAGCGAAGCAATTTTAAATAAAGATTTTAATGCCTTTAATACCAGAATTAGCAAAAACATAAATGTAAATATTAAAAAAAAATTTTTATTTTTATTTTTATTATTATTGACCAGACTTTAGACGGTAAAACTAAGCCCCATAGTTACAGTTAAGATGTTAAGTGTTAGTCACACATTTTAATTGACGAAAAAATTATTTTTCCGTCATTTAAAATCGGATTTTTATTTTACAATTCAAAAATCTACCGTAAAAATAATTAAGGCAATGCGATTAAATTTTACTGAATTAATTTTTGAGATCAAAAAGATTTATAAATAATAATAAAGTTGTACTTTCAAATAAATAGAATCGGATTGCCTTTTATAATGCAATAAATTTCCCAACAAACGTTCGATCACCGACTAGACATAACACTTGAATTATCCAAGGATAGAGTAAAGAGGAACGAGGACAAGGATCTAGTAGTTTATACGACCACGTGAAGGAAATAATATGCCACGAATAAACGGCATAGATCGAGGATATGAGACGAAATGTCCGTGTCTATGACATTATAAAAGTATCTCAACGCTCTAATCTACGCCGATGCAGATTCAAATGATCAAGCAATTGGCCAGTTTGCTCTATCATGTCAATCAGCTCGTGCTTTGTATTTTTCCTTCAAAATATATCCATTCATTCTAATTCGCTCGTACTCGGTTAAATTATTTAAAACTTTATATTTTATTAATAATAATGTATTTTATGATTTAAGATAACTTACTTGTTGTAGAGAACGCGGAAAGATTTCTGAGCCATGCAGTTGACGCTCCAATCTGTGTTCCCGTGTTCGTTGCATATTGTTATCGAAAACCTTCCATAGTTTGCTCTTATCAGATGTATCAATTCTCCCTCTCCGCACTCTATCCTCAGTGTTTTGCCCTCGCATTCATACGCCGTATCGTAAAGGTTCGAACGTTCTGAAACAAATGGTTTAAATTTAAACAATTATTTAATGTCACGGTGAATAATATTGTGGGAAAACTTTAATGTATATTGATCTACATTATTAAGAGAATAATAAAAATTTTGTTGACCTGGAGTTGTGCATTTTCAAGGTTTCATATCATTCTCACCAATAGTAAATTTATGATAAGTATTTATGCTGCACTCACAAATGCTCTATCTTTAGATAAATAATTAAAAAATGACCTTTTATCTTGTGAAATATTGACATTTTTGAAGATATAAGCTCATCCCGATGTTACACTCATCGAGACCTTTCATTTGAGTACCCATATCAATTTTTCATATATTTATATATATTATATATATTTATATATATGTATATATGAAAAATATATGAAAATGCATGTGAGTACTCAAATGAAAGGTCTTGATAAGTGTAACATCGGGATGAGCTTATATCTTTAAAAAAGTCAATAGTTAAGAGAGTACAGTGCAATTTACCAAAGATCTTGGAAACTATTGACATTTTTAAAGATATAAACTCACCCCGACATTACATTCATCAAGACCTTTCATTTGAGTACCTACATCAATTTTTCATATATTTTATATATTTATGTATATTATATATATGTATATATGAAAAATATATCAACAATGCATGTGGGTACTTAAATGAAAGGTCTTGATGAGTGTAACATCGGAATGAGCTTATATCTTTAAAAACGTCAATATTTAAAAAAGTACAATGCAATTTAACAAAATTCATTATTTATTAAAGCAAAATTTTATTTATTTATAGTTCACAAGTCACGGCAGTCACACAGTGATATTTGTTACATTAGAACTAATAGTGCAATAAGAGAATTATCGAGGGTAGAAAATCTGCAATAGATAAAATAAAATAAATATGTACTGTGTATAGGTGAAGTTTTGTAGGTATGGGTAGATTAAAGACGTTACCACCCGTTGTCACAAGCGGGTAACATGAAAGAATACTCCTAGCAGCGGGATGTCGTCAGCTTGATGTTCGCTGAGACACGAATATATACAAACTACATATATACCTTAGTAAGTGTATATGTGTTGGTCTATATAAATTTATTAAGGTAAATGTCGGAGTATGTGTGTATATATTTCATTGCTGTTAAGACACAGCAGGACCATTGTTGATCGGGAACAATATTTCACTCGTCACTGGTAGTATCGTGTGAGAAGCCAAGCCAAACCAATACAATAACATATCACGTATTTTGTTATACATTATTACTTCTGTTATATATAATTATAATAATAATAATAATAATAATAATAATAATTATTATTATTATTTTATATAGAGTGAAAATGTTAAGTAATATAGGTTTGGTTTGGCTTAATTAATGACTAGAATAATGATTTGTCCGTGTGGCGGTGGCTCTATAGCGCCAAGCCTGGATAACTTTTAGTGCGGTTAATAATTTTGATAAATCTAATTAGCTTGAACAAATATATGGCGGAGTCAGAAACAGCGGACATGACTAATGATAATGGTGTTTATTAATATCTACTAAGCGATTGTTGGGGGTGGATTTTTTCAGCCGTAATCACTGAGCCATCAACCGAGGTTTAAAAGAACTCCGTTATTTATTGATTTTATTTTTCTTACGCTTGTACAAAAGACGTACTATCATATATCAAGGTCAGAAATTTTCTTATAAATTAATTGAACTGACTAATAGAAATTAAAATGACTCCTCCTACGTTTGACCATAAAAAATTGAAAATTTTTATTGTTAAACTTCTGAGAATAACTTTTGATTCTTTGAAAAATTTTAATTCAGATTTTATTGAATTGAGAGACGGTCTGTTGAGTCTTTGAAGGGATTTATCGTTCTGAGGAGCGGAGATAAATCATTTTGATCAATTTCGAATAAATTTATCAATAATAATTGTCTTAAAAATGTATTTTCACTATTACTGCCCTATTTTTACAATAAAAACATAATTTATCAGCTTAAGATTGATCCAACCTGTCAAATTGACAAGAAAATAACCAATTTATTTAGCTCCTAAATTTGTTCAAGCCTTAAAAACCCTCGATAAAACCAAATAAAACCCACTCAATACAAAAATAAACTAAAACTATTTTTTTTCCAGCAGCATTTCATTCTCGTGTCAATACCAAGTGATATGATTCAAGTTGACTTAGCGATAAAAGCACAAAGAAAAAGAGAAATAACAAGTCGAAGTAGTGGTCGAATGCCTGGCAGTGAAAAAACAGAAAATACCGACACACCATATACGAAGATATCTCTGTACTATTATTATCACTGTATCTATAAAGAAGAGTTGAGTAGTTTCACAACTAGTCGATATTTCATCGAGGAAACAAACGAGATAACAGCAAGCTGCACATACCCGTCTTCATTCTCCGGCATATAACTCCTACAACAACAACAACAACTGCCTACACCAGAGTAGCCAGGATAGGAGTAAAGAGCTAGAGGAGTTCTTTTATTATCTTCCTCAGTGTGCTATACTATTTTGGTCTTTTACTTTTATTCCCCAATAGCCAGTATAACCCCGGTGCCTCTTTACTCCGGCACCTTTATTCCCGAGGGGTTTGCTGGCTTTTCGCCGCTTACTCTCGGTCTATTTGCGCTCATTCGCGTCCTATCCCGTCCTAACTTGCGCAAGAGAAAAGAGAAAGAGGTTAGCAACACTCTTTAGCTTTGGCTTTGGTTCTCACTTGGGTGAGTACTCAGCCTGGTTGTCTGCCTGCACCAGAACTGCCTGAACTCTAGTGTAAAATATTACCCTGGGCAAGGATGAGGGTGATCTTACCTTACGCGTCCACATTATATATACCAACTATATATCTATCGATGTAGTTGTAGGTGATGACCTGCACCAACCCGGTGTAGCTAGTTGTCTGCTCGCCTGTTTCTTCGACGGTCTTTGCTAAAGAGGGTTAAACGCTTCACTGATACTGTACTACACCAGGTCTTTGCTTTTGAACACCCTACTTTGCTCGGGTTTCCTCTACCGCAGATTCAAAACATTTTTTTTTCTATTTCATGCCTTTTAACTTGCACCGACGCTAAACGACCGCTTCAAGGCATGTTTGGATTCGCCAAATTAATCAATCTTTTATTTTTTGAATTTACTTCCGGGCAATAGGGAACTAAATATGATATCATTGATGGTTTTTCTTTTTTTTATATAAATATAAGTGGAAATTCGCTTTTGAGATTTGATATTTTTTGTTTAAATTGAACTCCAGAATTTTTTAATTAACAAAAGCTCCATTGTACTGATCGGACATGTGGAGTATAAAAAAATCCTGACGGATTGATATGATATAAATTTTGTAATATTGAATTACACCAGTGATATTATTATTATAAAGCTGTTAGAGAGCTTCTATTTGGTTTTGTTGAAATAAATATATTGAAGTGATATTTTATTTATTGAAAGAGTTTGCAAAAATATCAATCGAGCAAACATTTGATTATTGATATAAATGATACAATAAATAACGGCGTTGTCTATCATGTTTATTGAATATAAGTTATCTTTGATACACTGGAGTGCAAACAAGTCGTCTTCTTATCTATTTGTCTCTATATACTACGAATAAAACGATAATGTACAAATGTAAGTTCAGAGCTGACGTATCATTTGAATTTATAAGCGAGGTATTTCTTGCCAGTTCTTTTAATCTCCGGTTTATCACCACAGATTCAGTTTATTTATTTTAAAATAATGTCACCGTTGATCTCGTTTAATCTTATTGTTGTTGTGTGTACGCCCAGAAGGTTTTTTCCTATCTCTTTCAGTCATATTTATTTAAATTCCTTTATTTTCCTTCTATTTATACTTTCCATCCACTCAGCGATGACTTTTACTGCCCATTAACAAATATAAATTTTACTATTATGTAGTTTAAGATCTTTTAAGTTAAATCCGTAGAGCCGAGGACACTTAAGATTATTTTAAAACCGAGGAAACAAATTCTGTTTATGTTCGAAATAATCTCAGGTATTCAAAAACAAATTTAACGATTTGGGATATTTTATTCTTAAGAATTTTTTTAAATTAAAGACAAATTGTGAAATATTTAAAGATTTTTTTTCATTGAAAAAACGTAATTCTCGGAAATAACTCTCCTACATTTTGTATCTTCTCATTTTGGAATTGTCGATCAATATGTGAATATTTTACAGCTTTATTTTAGTAAAACACTTTAAATTGTTTTATTAAATTCAAGATTGAAGCTTTAAATTCGCGTTCTATTTTAGCGGAATATTTTTAGGAGGAGCAAAAAAATTTGCTGTATTAATACAGCAAAATATCTCTCAGCTTTTGATTACACGGACGTAATACTCTAATGTAATTACTATAAATACGCTATCTATGCACATAAAGTATAAACAACTGATAGTTATATACGGTACAAGTTATAATGTGTAATGTGTAATGTATAATGTATAATGTATAATGTATAATGTATGTAGAGAGGAAATAAAATACAAAATAATCTCCAGAAGCATCATTGTAATATATTTAATACACAATATATAATTTCGCGTATAATAATTGAACACCGCGATGGCGATGCCGATGAATAATTGAATACGATTATTTTTCTTTTATGACCTTAAATTATAGTTTAAATCACAAGGGCCATTACTTTGAATAATATTTCGATATGTTACCAGTTGCCACAGGACTACTGCCTACAACCTACTACCTAATATATAAATATATAAATATATAACAGGAATAAACAGAGTTAATATAATATAAGTCCGAGGTGCATTAGTGGTGGGAAAAAATAATATAATATAATATAACGAGGATCCATTTGCTCATGCATACATTAATGCCCAAGCATATACATGTCACATTATAATACCGTAGGAGCATGTGTGTAAATTTAGGCATATCAGTTGAGAACATTGTACTGCACTTTAAGAGCTTTAAATGATAACCGTTTGATTCTCTGACCGTTGTGATATTATTTGTGAG